TGTTGTTGTTGTTGTTGTAGTAATTCGTGTCATTGTTGTTGTTGTTACACTTTTAGCTGTATTTTGTTGTTGTTTGGGCGTCAATTGGCGTCGCCTGCGACCTTCGAGCCAAACAATTTTAGTGTTTGGCTTTTGAAAGCTCTGCAAAAATCTCACAATTTGCGGCAATTTATATATATATATATTTTTTTTTAATTTTATCCATTTTTGTGAGGTTTCTTGCCACTTGCTTTCTTTGGCTGACATTTAAATTTTTGGCTGGGGTTTTTCCTTTGGCCTTAATTAGGTTTTTGGGCTTTTCACTTTTGCTTAATTTATTATAATTTATATATATATATATTTTTTTTTGGCATTTTTGTTTGACTTTTGACACGTTGACTTTTTTCTTGGCCTGAAAAACTGACAAGCTGACCAAAAGCGAATTTTTCTTGTTATTATTTTGGCTCTTTTTTATTTTGTTAAATAATTGCTTTGCTCTGTGTGTCACGTTGTGTAAATATAAATTCGTTGCTGCGATTGTTGCTGTCAATTTGTGTGGCTTAGTTATCAGCGCTGCCCGAGCGTATATCTACATACATACACAGATACACACATACATATGTACACACGCATACCTGTGCACTTGACTGAGCTTTAAGTGGAGCACGACAATTGTCAATTTACATAAGCCATATACGATATGTACAATATGTACAATATGTGCGATATGTACAATATGTATGTGTATAAATAGAATTGCGATATAATTGATTGTCGCAAGGGAAGGGGTAGCTCTGATAAGCCCGTGAGTAACCAAAGCTACCATAACTTTGGCAAAACTTAGACGATTTCAATAGTTGCTGTCCTTTTGACCATGATATGAGATCTATATAACTTATGCATTCAAGATCAATGCATCAATGCAAATCAAAGTTGTTTGACTGTGAATATCGTGTACATCCCCCTTTTAGTTATACTATTGTAGAGGGTATTATAATGTGCATGTAAATTATATAGTATATATTTTAGATCAGCATCAACATCCGAGCTGATATGTACGTCGAACTATTCTCTGAACCCATTAAAAATGGGTATAAGGGTATATTGTATTTGTGCAAAATCCAAATGTATGTAACAGGCAGAAGGAAGCTTCTCCGACCCCATAAAGTATATATATTCTTGATCAGCACTAATAGCCGAGTCGAGCTAGCCATGTCCGCCTGTCTGTCCGTCCGTCCGTATGTATGAACGCAAGGATCTCAGAGCTAGAGACTTGAAATTTAGATGTAGATGCTCCTAGTTCCCGCGCAGATCGAGTTTGTTTCCGATAATCGATAACTTACTCCGTTTCCTAGCAATCGATAAAAATCGATATCGATATCCTGTTTTCGGTCAATTTTGGTAAATAATAAGAGCTAGAGTCACCAAACTTGACATATAGCTTCTAAAATAGAATATATATATGCATTTAATGTTGGAAGAAGAGGGTTCAGGGTATCCCCTAGTCGGGAGCTCCCGACTAGAACCTCTTACTTGTTAACAATTTATCTTAATCTCAAACCAAGTTGCTTTGGCTTTTTTAAAGCTTAAAATTAATTAATAATAATTTATATAAATTGTGAATAAATTAAATGCTGTATGTTGAGCTAAATCATGAGAAAAAGCTCAGCTAAAACTTGAAGTCAAATGCGATGCGTTGTGAAAGACGTAGTTAAAGTTGCTTAAAGGCGCACTTTGAGTCTTTTGGGTTGTTTGTTTAGCATCTTCTGAATTTAGTTTGGGGATTATATTTGTTATTTTCGAATACAACTCTTTTTGGCTAAGCGCCTGCCCATATTTATGTTGTGCTTATAAATGATTTGTTGTAGAATATGTTTAAGCAAAAATTGTATTTGTTGTTGTCAGTTGTATGTGTTATGGGTCTGGAGGTATTCAGGCGGGAGAATAGCAGCACAGTGGAGCCACAACAACAACAAAAACAAAGACAACAACCACAACAACAGCAAAGACAGCAACCACAACAACAAGCGCAAACAATGGAACCCACAACAACTTTCGCGAAAACTCGTTTTCCACGCGTTCGCATAAAATATTAAAAAAAATTGTTGTTGTTGTTGGTTGATGTTTTCTGTTGTTGTTGTTGTTGTTGCCGCCCTTGTCACTTATTTAGAAGCCAAATCTGTAGCCAGTGTGTGCCACACGGCCAAAAAACCCGCTGCTGCATCCATTGAAACGTACAGCAGTTGCCGCTGGTTCCCCTCTGCAAAAACCTGTTTCTTCTTCGCACAGGCCTCAAAATATGTAAAAATATAAATAAAATAAAACGACAATAAGGCGACGTCGACTGCGAAGCTGACAGCGCTTCGTTGGCTTTGTTCAGTTTTTTTTTTGTACGCGTTTGTGAAAATTCTCAGCTTGAATTTTCATTTACTTTAAATAAGCTCATTTCTCTGGCGCCATTTAAAATGCGGCAACGTTTCCGTTGTGGTTTTTCATCGCCTTCGGGCTGTGCAACATTCAACAGCTACAATTCCAATGGTCTCTCTCAGTCTCTGCCCCGCTTGACACACATTCTCTACCTCGGCCCCGTTGTCGCTGCCCCTCGTTATGCAACTCAAATCAAGCATGAAAAGCTGCTTCAACAATTGACCACAATTGGGACAGCTGACAGAGTGCGGCCTATAACAGAAGCAGCAGCAGCAGCAGCTCACAGCGAACGTGCCCCAGTCCGGCAGGGTGCCGGCTGCCGGCTCGCTGGCATGGAGGAAGCCAAATAGTTCTTAGCCCATTTGCCACATTTTGCGGTATTTATGTAAATACACTCTATGTGAGGGCTTCACAGACTTCGGCTTCAAGGAGACGCCCAGAGTGCTTCTAAAAGTATACGAACTTTAACTCAAAAGTGTCACAAAGTTTGTGACCAGAGAACAGTGTTGTGTAACAGCTTAAGTTGAGTGTACTTACATGATTTTATGAATATTAAATAGCCAAAGTTTCCAGAGCTAAACTATGTATAAAGAAGATCAAGAAATGTGTGTTCAAGGCAAAGTTGAAGAAATTCTTAAAGCTGTTTGGCTATATAAATTCGAATTCCAGGTCAACATTCCTTTCTATCTCTATCTATCTCTATCTCTCTATCTCTATCTCTATCTCTATCTCTATCTCTATCTCTATCTCTATCTCTATCTCTATCTCTACCGATAGTTGATAAGGGAGCAAAATCAATACTTATTGACTTCTGCCTTTTTTCATTTCGTAGTTCTACAACAAAATATTTCATTTGACTTATGATTGCTTAACCCTTATATAAGTACTTAGGAGCATAAATATATAGGAGCAGGTTCGATAGTAAATAGTGCGCAAAAACTATCGAATAGCTGATCGATATCGGACAAACTAAACTATCGACAGTTTTGGGGCGTGACTTGATTTATATGATTTGTTTGGATCCAAAAGACCTTTTGTATACCATATCGTTTCTTATATACTTGAGAGCTTGTCGTTACTGTTTTATATATATTCCTCAAATATATATATATTAGGAAATAAATAAATGAATTTCAAAATAGAGCAGAAATATTGGTTATTTGCTTGTTACACAAAAACATTTAACTACAGGGTATTCCACCATTTATTTATTCTTACTACAGGGTATTCCACCATTTATTTATTCTTGAGAATTTGACTTGCATTAGTTCATATGACAGTCTTACGATAGGGTTCTTAAAGAGTATTTAAGCTTCGTTGAGTGAGCCTCTGTTTTGTGCTTTTAACTATTTTTTATGTTTTTATGCTCTTCTACGTTCTTTATTTTTTGCTGTGTGAATTCTCCTCCAGCTATTTGTAGGTAGCCTAATTTCAACGCTTGAATGCTGTCCATACCAACAGATGAGTGTGTGTGTGTGTGACAGACAGTGTGGGTGTGTGTTTTAAGTGTTTGTGTGTGCCCAGCTTATCTGAGGCAGCATCAGAGTCAACAACAACAAACAAGAAACAGCTGCTGCAACAGCTCGACGAGTGGCAAATGTCAGATGGAATTTTGTTTTATTATACCCTGTAAAAAAGCTAGTTACTTTAATTTTTACTACATTTTTTACGAAATGAGCTTGTCTTCATATTTATCGATAACTCTTTCCACACAATCGATAAATATCGAAGTTGAGAATTGATTTATTTAGCACAATTCGGGGATTATATGTGCTAGAGACTTCATATTTGGTATGCAGTTTTTTGTAAGGCATATACATCAAGGTACAGGGTATCTTCTAGTTAAGCACTGCCGACTGAAGCTTGCTCTTGCTTGTTTTCTTTTATACCTTGTGCTTCTTTCAGCTGTCTTGAAGAGGGGCCCCTGCTCTGTGTGTTTTAGCCGATTGGCAAGTGAGGCACAAATATTTAAGACTATAAATAGTTGGGGGATTCGGGGAATCTTAAAATGGGAGCTCAACTCCCACCGAAACGGAGTTAAGCATTGCTGCGCCTTGCCTTGCCTTGCTTTGGCCTGTTGGCCAATTAGATTTGGCCCAAACTCAACTGGCTATTGGCTATTTTATATGCAGGCCGAACGATGTCGCTTAATGGCAGACAATTTGCTTAGAATTTGTATGCAGGCTTTCTTCTTCTGCTTCTGCTTTTGATTGTTGTTGCTGAAGCGAAAAACTCGTTGTGAATTTGTAATTGAATTGTCAAATGATGTTGAACATCATCATCCAGTTGTTGATTACATAAAAAATATAATGCAGAGAAGCTGAAATTGTTTTCGCAATTTTCGCTTTCAACCGAGAAGCAGCAGCAGCAGCAACAACAACTATAATAATGTTGCAACTGCAACATGCCGCATGCTACACAAAACTATGTAAAGGGGCGGGCGGGGGGGCATGCCGCCCCATTTTTGGACGGTCGCTTTTCCGCTTCCGCGCAGCGTTTTTACATCTTTTTTCCTTTGTCGAATACAATTTCATGACGTTGACACAATTTCGCTAATTATTATATCTCTTCCTCTTTTTCCTCTCTTGTTGCAGCCAAGAAACAAAATGGCGCCGCCATACGCACAAACAGCCTGGGCTCTGGCACCCGCACCCCGCCCCTGGAGCGCAAAAGCAAACTGAGCGCTTTGGGCAGATTCTTCAAGCCCTGGAAATGGCGCCGAAAAAAGAAGAGCGAAAAATTCGAAGCCGCCTCCAAATGTAAGTTATCCCATTATCAAATGATTTTTGCTCCATTTTCTGTGTTGGTCAGTCAGTTTAATATTCAACACTTACTTTGCAGCACTGGAGCGCAAGATTTCTGTACGTGCCAATCGCGATGAGTTAGTGCAAAAGGGCATCCTGCTGCCGGAGAGTCCGCTGGGCAATATACCAGAGCCGGGTAAGTGACAGAAAGGGTTGTGGGTACGGGTCAAGTCAAGAGAGTCGACCTTTTTCTCTCTCTCTCTCTCTCTCTCTCTCTCTCTCTCTCTCTCTCTCTCTCTCTCTCTCGCTCTCTCGCTCTCTCTCTCTCTCGCTCTCTCTCTCTCTCGCTCTCTCTCTCTCTCTCTCGCTCTCTCTCTCTCTCTCTTTCGCTCGCTCTTCCATTCTTTCTTCATTCCTCTCTCTTTCTATCTGGTTCTCAATCTCAATCTCTGTCTCCATCACACGCCTTCTCTCTTTATCACTAGCGTCTTCTCTTTCAGTGCTCCTCTGTCTCTCTCACACCTCTCTACTCTGTTTTTGCTTTCTTATCTTTTCTCTCCTTTTATTTTTATTGCTTTCTCTTTTTCTCTCTCTCCTTATCTCTCTATTTCTCACCTGTCTCCCTCTCACTCATCGCATCTCTGCTCTTAGATTATCCTTCTCTACCCTATTTTTCTCTTTCGCCTTATCTTTCTGTTTCACCTTTTATTTTCCCATCTTCACTTTCGTCCATTCTATCTTATCCTTTTTCTCCTCACTCAACTTCCCCTACTCTAATCTTTTCACCTTTCCCTTGTCTTCTCTTTTCACCTCTCACTCTTCCCTTGTCAATTAATTTTTGTAAATGTCACCTTTCTCTGCGATTTTCATGAATTCATGTCATGCTTAAAAATTTGCACACTTTTTATTAAGTGAATGAGTCAACGCTAGAGATAAGGCGACAGACAAAGTGAGCTTTTGTTTAGGATAGACGGTTATGAAAAAGTGTTATGAAATACGAATTCAGACAAAGTACAGAGTGTTCCATTCAAGCACAGGGTATCTCCTCGTCGACAACTCTTCATTGTAGCAGTCGTGTTAGCAATTTATGCAGTGAAATAGATTTTTTTATTTATAAAAATTCCTTAGCTAGATTTTCAGCTTTCATTTTGAAAGGCTTTGCGCCCGCAGAGATACTTTTCATAGTTTAAACTGAGAGCTAAACACACACACATATATACATATATGTATTTGTGTATTTGTGAGCTGTAGGCTAGTCATATAGCTCACATCTAATCCTCCCATTGGCTTTCTGTTTTTGTGCAGAAGGCACAAAAGTTTTATAAGCCGGCAGACTGTGGCCAACTTTAGCAAACGGACCGCAGGCGCGCACACAAATGTATCTTTCGCTTTCAGTTTTGGCCTTTGTGCGCGTTGCTGACAGAGTCAACAAACGGAAATTGGCCATAATCCACGCACGATTTAGCCAATGACGAGGCACGTTGACTTGGCTCAGTCACGAGCTGCTGACGCCAGGTTTGCTGCCACTTTGCTAAATTGTTTGTACATCAAAGTGGGGCGGGGGGAGCGGCACAGTGTTCGATTCCTTCCACTTCAGCCGTGACATATCCGTCTGTCTGGGCAGATGTTCAAAGCGGGATACACTCCAATCGCTGTCGACGGCGACGTCTCGATGGTAATTAATCAACGGCAGCTAATTGTCAATGCGAGACGTCGCCGAGTCGCAGCCAAACAACGCCGAACAACGCACGCCACCTGAATGGCAAATCGTAGCGGGGAAAAAGAAGGAAAAACTCTGATAAATCGAACCTACCTCAAGTTGTGGCTGCTTGGCCCAGGGCAAGCTTTTCACCGCCGCTCGCCAACAGATGGCGCTGCTGGTGAAAGTTGCTGGTGAAAGCTTTGGCCGTACAAGCTGAATGACAGAGCTTTTCCGCAAAAGCTCGCTGCATTTATGAATGACTGCAAGCTCTCTCTCTCTCATATACTCTCTCTCACTTTCTCTCTCTCTGTCTCTCTCCGTCTCTTTGCAGGCGAGGAGTCATACTACAATAGTGGAGCCAGCGCGAATGGCTCTCTACTCTCAGCCGTCCACAATAATTCCATAAATCAAGCCAACAATTCCATTAATGCCACGACCTATGGCAGCGCCGGCAATTCGCTGCTCTCACAACAACAACAGCAACAACACCAGCAGCAGCAGCAACAGCAGTCGGGAGGCGGGGGCGTGCCCAACTCGATATCCGTGCAACAGTTCAATGCAAATTCCATGCTCAATGGCGCCAGCCTCAATCAACAGAATTCCATTGCCAATGGCGGCGGCGGCGGCGGCAACGATGGCGCCTCGGACACATCCTCGCTGAGCGGCGGCGTGCCCCATTCACAATCGGCACCACAGCAGCTGGGCGTCGGGCAGCAGACGGCGCCACCGCTGACACCGCTCGCCCAGCATCATCAGGCGCTGGCAGCGCAGCTGCAGCAGCGATTCGCCATCAGCAATAATAACGGTAAGTCTCTGCGAATTACTTTTATATATAATACTTGGGTGATGGCAGGAGGGGGGGGGGGGGGGGGGGGGGGCACTCCTCCCTTTGTATACTTGATCCTATTGTCGGGAAATGGTTCACTGTAATTGGCAATGGAAAACAATTGTGAGGAAGTTTTTCCATAGAATCGAAGAGTTTCTTTCCTTTGTTAATATTTTATTGTTGCACGTTGAGTGTAATTAATGTGCACAGCATCCGTTTAAAGTTTTGCTATTGACTTACTAGATGAATTTGTTATAATGGAAACAGTTAGAAAGTAATTCAGATCTTAGCTCTGATCCAGATCAGATAAAAATGGCATAAAAATGGGATTTTATTTGGAGAGTTCCCTATTCCAATGCACCTTGTTAGTCAAAGGGAACGATTTTTCGGTATCTCTTCCCAGAATATTGGAGAATTTGTTAAGAGATTTGATAGGATTCTATGGGGATTTGCAGAAAAGATGTGAACATTAAGAGATATTATTATTTCTTCAATATTATAACATAATTCGGCAATATAATAGATAGTCGGCGAATAAAAGTTTTCAGAAATATGATGAGTTTCAAGAAGTTCTTTGACAAATTTACAAAAAATATAACTAAATACTGATAAAATATGTACTTATTTCGCCGTATTCTTTATATTGCCAAACGTTTGCTTTCTTCTAAAATACTGAAATCCATCAAAAAACAAGTTCACTAATTAGCCTCTCGTATAGAATTTCCCTCTCCGCAAACATTGCATACTTTAGGGTTGCGGCGAATAGCGATAAATATCGTTGCCTACTTTCAAGCGTTCCGCTTAAAGTGAATTACACAGGCATTAACATTAAGCGTAAATAAGCTGCGCATAAAGCCAATTTAAGTCGAGTTAACGCCTAGTTAAATCCCAATTGGCCCCCCACAAGCCCCACACAAAGTCTCAAGTATTTGTTTTGCCGTTGTTCTTGACTACAGCTAAGGTTGTTGTTGTAGTCAGCATATGCGGCAGTCTGCCAAAAAGTCAGATAAACTGTTAAACAAAACACAAACAATTGCTTGAGGGAGGGGTAAGGGGAATGGGTTGGCGTGAGGTCCATTGCTGGCTATTTGAACGGTAAACAAACAATGTTTTTGCGATGCTTTTGCTCTTGACATTTATGTATTTTGACTCGCCGCAGTTTTTGCATGCTACGCTCCTTCGCTATCCCCATCCCCAACCTGCTCCTCTCTCGCTCGCTCGCTCCGCTCATAATGAGCAGGCTACATATTTGATGACTATCTAGAAATGATATTTCAGTGCGCCTGAAGCTTTGCGCCATTGCGCTTCGTATTTGCTTTGCGTTTGATGCTGCGACGACGACTGCAGCAGCAGCAGTAGCAGCAGCAGCCGGCATGTGCTCGCCGCGTCGCTCTCTCTTCGCCGCCGTCATTGTTGTCGCTCTCTCGCAACGCGCACGTTTTGTGCCTTTGTTTATTTTGCACTTGTTTCGCTGAGAGCGAGAGAGAGAGCGACTCGCTTTCTCACTGTTACTTTTTATCATTTGCTACTGCGTCGTTTTTGTTGTTGCCTTTTGGGGCTAGCTGGACGGCGTCGCATTTTTATGGCAAACCGTTTCGCTGCTGTCGGCTCTGTCATTTCCTATGTTCAGTTAACATTAAAACGCAGCCCGCTAGAGCAGCGCGTGTTTTGTCGTCGCGTTAGAACAAAACTAAAAAAATAAAATTAATAAATAATTAAAAAAAAATACACAATTAAAAAAAAATAAATATAACAAATATTCATAATTGTGTTTACTGTACATGTTTGCTTAAGTGTCTACCGCTCTCTCTCGCTCGCGCTGTCTCTCGCCTCGTCTACGTGTGCGTGTGTGCGTGTGTGTGTGTGTGTGTGCGCGTGTGTTTGTGTATGTGTTCGTGTCGCAGTGTGTGCGCTAAGACAACAACAATTTTACACTATAAAATATGTAATATTTGATAGCTGCAATTTTTATAAGTCATTTAGCCAGACGCTTTTGCTTGTGCATAATCTCAAGGTGAAGCTGTTTAGAGAGGTGCAACACATATTTAACAAGACTGTGGGCACATTTTATTTCCTATATATTGCCGGTTGCGAGTTTTTCTTTTTGAAAGTGCTTTTAATTGTTTATCATTTTGTAGGGCCTCATTTGCTGTTTAAAAAAATTGTTTGTAAAACTTCAATTTGGTTCTATTTGACTTTTGTTTTTCTATACATATCTCTTAAAGATCTTATTTCCACTAGGGCGAAAAAAAAATTGCATTGTCAGCGCAATGCAAACAAATGCAATTACAATTGAGCTTTTGTCAGCGTCAACAACAGCGCCGCCCACAAAAATAAAGCGCTGCTAAAAAAACAAAAAAAAAAAACAAAAATAATAATGAAACGGAACAAAAACAAACAGCACGAACCAGCAGCTCGACTAACGGCACAAGTCCCGCAAGTTGGGTTCTTGTGTTTTGGTTTTAACGAAAGTCGCACAAAGCGCAAACAAAATATTTCTGTAAAAGGAATTTCTGTGTAAAATGCAACAGTGAGCGGCGTGGAATGAGGGACAAGGCTCAAGGGTGATGTTGAAGGGGGGGAGGGAACGCAAGCACGCAATGGCATTTTTAATTCGCATATGTGTGCGTGTGTTGGTGTGTGTGAATGTATGCATATAAGTTGTAGGTAGCCTGGCATCCGGTTCGGTGTGGGGGAAGGGTGTGTTATTTCATTCCTTTTTTAGGGGGGAGTGGGTGTGGGGCGTGTTGTTTTGTGTGTTTGCTGCAGCGAGCGAAAAGAACTTTAATTTGCCGTCATTCCACTTTTGGTCTGATTTTCGCCGCCTGCGCCTCTCACATTACGCATACGCAGCGGGCAAGTGGCAAGAGGAAGCATCAAATTGTTGCCTACCATTGGGCGCCGCGCGCTCTCTCGCTCGCTCTCACAAGCGCAAACACAAACACAAACACACACACAAACACTCACATACCAAATTTACTCTTGCCGCATCCTTTCTGCGCGTTGCCTTTTAACTTTGTTATTCGTTGCGTTGCGGCGCGCGCTCTCACGCTCTGGCATTGCCTGCGCTCTTTCTCTCGCTCGCCCTCTCTCTCTCACGCTGGCTTTGTTTTGTATTTGCTGTCCAAAAAGCAAAACGCAAAAATGAGCAAAGAAAGAAAAAAATAAAGCTCAGCAGACTGTGGCTAATTTTTCGCTAGAATGTTGCGCTGTTTGCTCGCTAAATTTTTATAAATAAATATATAATTAATTGAAACTGTTTTTAATTGTTTTAAACAAAAATGGTGCAACACAGACATACGCTCTGCTAGTGTGTGCGTGTGTGTGTGTGCTGCCCGCAGTCGCTGCTCGCGTATCGACGCACTGCATCCTGAGGTCGTGCACCTCTTTGCTCCGCTTTTCGCTCTGCTTTCGTCATTGTTGGAGGAGATGCCAGTGCAGTGTCTGTGTGTGTGTATGTGAATGTGTGTACGTGTGTGTTTGTTTGTGTAATTTTCAGTATTTCCTTTGCATTTTAATCATAATAACAAACGAATTTCTTTGCTTTTGCTGTTTGTGTTTGTTTTTAGTGCATTCGAGCTGATATGGCTCTTCTTCTTAATGCGCTTGTTGTGCTAGGTTAGCAATCCAGTGTTGCAAAGTGCGCCGAATAACGCTCTGAAACTCGAATCTTTGAGACTTGAGAATTCTCGAAGCAGTGAGAAACTGACTTCGACAAGTTGAGCTTTGATTAACAATAGCAAAGTGTATTCACATCATTTGAATTCTGTTTAAGTTTTAGTTTTTTTCTGTACTTTGATTTCCGCTCGTGTCGCATTCTAATCTAATAAGATATGCTATTTTTACTTTCATCGTTTCTCCAACGAAATCTTATTAGCTGCTCAGATAAATTGCTACACGCCATACCTCAGATAAGCACTCCTCGGATATTATACCTGTGCGCATATGTATATATATATATATATATATATATATATATATAATGCCTAATTGAGTCAGTGTGCTACGCCCACAGTTGAGATAATGCAATTAGACGTGCCAGCCAACTGAAGTCTGTTGTGTTATTATTTTTTTTCCAATTGGGGAGAGAGCGGAGTGTAAAACTGTGGAACTGTAAACTCACGTAATCTATCTGTGTGTGTGTGTGTGTGTATTTGTACTTGTGTGTGTCTTGATTGCAAACAACTTAATAATGATACCCTATAAGACGGTAGCCATAAGGCTGGCTATAAGGTTGACGTGGGCGATTTTTCTAAAACTCACCCATTTTCCGATTGTCAAAGTGGATTTCACAAAATCTGTGTGAATCCTGTTACATGAAATTCGATTATTTCTTTTAAAAAACCTGCCAGAATTTGGGCTAAAAAAATACAAATAAAGTGTATATTCACATTTTTTGTCTAGAATTTTTCCGAATGAAAAAATTGTATACAAAATTTGGCTCAAAAATAAACATATTAATTGTATATTAACTAGTTCCACGTAGATATTTTCCGAATGTAAAGGTTTATAAAAGATTTAGTCAAAAAAAAAAATATAAAAAATTGTTCGCTTCAAATTATCTGAATGAAAATGTTAATAAAAGATTCGTCAATTTTGAGAATTTAATTTTCATTTACTACAACTACAAATAGCTATTTCAAGTTTGGTTCATGTTTATACCCTGTGATTTGTAGGGAAGACTGTTAAGACTATTTAAGATAAGCTTTTTTATAATTGAGACAAGCTGAGATAAGTGTGCCTAGTATATGATATAAATCAAACTAATTTCTTAAAGCTGCAGCTTGCTCAGCTTATTTTCTAGGGTATAAGATACCTATTTTTTGTTGTGTTCTGCTTCTGCTTGGCTAATCTCAAAGATCTTAGTCATTAGCAGTGAGTAGCTGGCACTCTGGCAATTAGGGCAGCCCAGAAAAAGTTTCAGTCATTGATAAGCTTCGATTAGGAATCATTGAAAAAAACAGAAAAAAACAAAACAA